GGAGAAAATATTTGTGTGCTATACCACACGTTKGAAGATAGTTTTAGGAATAACAACATAGGTAGATGAAACTATTTGCATGGTTATCGATGCGGAAGAGATCAAATATTGACTCCAAATACTTAAGTACTAAGGCATTGGTCTGCGCATGCGTAGTTTTGAGGGTTGTGTTTGGGTCGAACACAGGAACCTTGTTTGGGCTGCCTGTGGTCGATGGTATTCAAACCTCTGGTGTGGTCATTACGTAAACATTGATTAGTAATCAGTAATTAGTTTACATTACGACCCCATCAGAGGTATAAATACCATCGACTGTCTTTCGTTTTTTCGCTGGACTATGAAGATGACTTCCAATCAGGTTGTCGAAACGTCAGTCACCACTAACAACTGAGTATTTCTCAAGACTACGCTCAATCACTCTTAACAACGAACTTCAACACCTGGGTTCAAAAACCATTTACCCTTATATTTTTTCATTGTTCTTATGTTTTTATATATCTGTCTATCTGCTGTTCGTCTTTCATGTACCGGTATGTACAGTATATACGTCTGTTCGTCTCTCCAGGTTAATTGTCTGTCGACATCAAAACCATAAGCAAAATCAGGTTTTCAGGCTTCTTTTGCTGGCTGACTTTTTTTTAGGTTTCCAGGCTTGTTTTGCCATCAGCCAAGATGAAAGTGCCCGTTCATATCTTGAACACTTCAACACCACACGTAACAATCACGTGACTCCAGTACTAAAAACTGCAGCACGTGACTTCATCGTGAAGACCTTCCAGGACTTTGGACTGGACACGTGGACAGAGGAATTTGCGTCTAACCAGAAAAACGTGAGTTTGAAGTGAGAAAAATTAGAGGCTTTTGGTGTCTCCGCGTACTAATGACTTTAGCTTGCGTAACTAGTTTCCAGGAATCAATATAATCGGCCGTGTCAATGGAAGGTACACTGGGACGAGTAAGGACAAGATTCTTATCATCGCTGCTCACTACGATACGGTGAAAGTAACAAATGGAGTTGATGACAATGGTTCTGGTATGACGGCTTTGCTCCAGGCTCTAAGACAATACAAGAGCTCAAGTAAGCCTAAGATATTTTATTCAATTTGCTCGTCAGTAAGCGTCTGAACGTTATAATGAATATTAAAATTAATATTGTGAGAAAAAATAAGAGACTAGATTATCATCATCACCATCATCATCATCATCATCATCCCCATCATCATCATCACCATCATCATCA